TCGTGTGACCTGATTCTGGCCATTAAGACAGAAGCAGCAATCGGCCCTAGGAGAGATTCCAGCAAAGCTCTTGCTTTCTTTTTCTGCCCTGAATGTAGACATGAGGTCTGAAGTAGCAGCCGCCAACCTGCAGGAAGATGGGTGCCCGCGTGCCAAGGAGATGGAGCAGGATCAGAGCAAGAGCCCCGGGGCCTGACAGCATCACCACACAGGGTGCCAACCCAAATTCCATCACGACTTCTGCACCCAGAAAGCCTTTCCTTGTGGAAGCCACAGCCATCTTTCTGAATTAAAGGGTGACCCACATTCCTACTTATAATGACTGATAAAAGGGAAGGAAAGGCAGAGGAGAAGAGGGAGGGAAAGGAAGGATGTTGGAGCCTGGGCAAGGTGGCGTAGAGAGCAGTCAATGTCCAGAGGAGCACCTGGATGGGTGGCAGGGCACAGGTGAATCTCTGAGGATGGGGTCATCTTTCCCCAGTGACTGGCATTTTGATTTCACACCTGGCGGAAACAGGGACAGGACCTTCTACTGCCCTCACAGGGTAAGATCGACATGTTGCCAGGGATCAAGCACATCTGGGAGAGCTGCAAAGCATCGTGCAATTGCACATGTAAGGTTTCGACACACACGCATTTCGGACACACAGGCAAGTTATTGTTAGTTTCACTCCATCACTATCAATTTAGTTTGTTTTGCAGTTATTTTTGTTTTGGCTTTTCCATAACATATAATAATGCACTTTTGTATTGAGAGCACACTGGCCCATACCATTCCATCATCTAGACTACGTGAGCTATGCTTTTAATACAAATTAACCATATTCCCGTTGTGGATGTAGCTTGATGTTAGAGTACTTGCCTTGCCCGGGCAAGGCTCTGGGTTCAATCCCTAGGATTGCACAAATAAAATAACCACAATCCTACTTCTACAGTTTTGAGGCCACTGGTCTAGGTGATGTGGAGGTAAAAGGCCACTCAATTTCCAGGTTAAAAAATGCAATCTTGGAGCTGGGGATGTGGCTCAAGCAGTAGCACGCTCGCCTGGCATGCATGCGGCCCAGGTTCGATCCTCAGCACCACATACAAACAAAGATGTTGTGTCCCCCGAGAACTAAGAAAAAATAAATAAATGTTAAAATTCTCTCTCTCTCTCTCTCTCTCTCTTTCTTTAAAAAAAAAAAAATGCAATCATAAGAAACTGAAGGGCTTGGCCAGAGACTCCCAGTTTCGTGACAGACCTGGGATTGGAACCTGGGCCTCCTCTGTTGGCTTCCTTGCATGCATGGTGCTGGAGACTGAACTCAGGGCCTGAATGCCTCCTTTTAAAGGAGACAAAAGAGCTGGAGTGGGTCAAGGGACACGCTGAGTCCTTTTCCTTTGTGTGCCCCTCACTCTGACCTCCTGGAATGAGGTAAGGCCCTGTTGCTGTCTCCCCAGGGTGCTGGGGTGATTATCTGGATATCACATGCAAACAGCTAGTATCTCAGGTTCTATCAATGCCTCTTGAGTGGCACTTCACCCCCTCTCTACATCCTGTTCCAGGAAACTCATCAGTTCTTAGGGTGTTTGGAGTCCACGTTCTCCCCAACCTCTCACAGGTGGCCCCAAGAAGCCACTTTCAAATATCTTGGTTGCTGGACTCTTATTCAGTTGGAATCCGTCCTCTTTGTGTTGACATCACTGATATTGTTTCAGCGTAACCTGGGATCCACATCCAGGGCCATGTCCAGCTGCAGATCTGCTAGGAGCCAGAACCCAGGCAGGAGCAATGATGAAAGCCAGGGACAGGGCCACTCAGCCGCCCAGGGTAGGCGTGTGCTGCCCCTGAGTAGTCACAGTTGCTCACAGCAGACACCACTGCCGTCACCCAGGTACCATCCTGCTCACCCGCCCCTTCCACATTAGCACCTCAGCGTGAAGAGTGCTGGGTGAACCGTGCTAGTGGCGGGGTCCCTTGGGTGTGAGGAGTTGCAGACAAGGTGGGGATGGATGCTTCCCTGAGAGGAGGCTGGGAGCAGGTGGGGAGACAAGGAGGATTCGCTACAGCCACTGGATGGAGGCAGGAAGGTATGCAGACGGAAGAAGCAGTATTTAGGGAGGGCCACCAGGTATCAGGACCCAGGTGCTGGGTGTCCATGTGTGCACATGTGTGTGCGTCTGCATGTAGGCATGTGCGTGACCCCACCTTGTAGAGGAGGTGCAGTTTGTCTGATGAGAGGCCAGTCAGTGCCCAGAGGTGGGGGTAGGGGAGCTCTGTGGCCACCGCAGGGAGCCCATGGTCTGGAAGAGGCAGGAGACTCAGAGGAGCCCAATCAGGGACTGTTGTTGTGGGGGATGATGGGGATGTCACCATTCGGGGGCACAAATTGGGAGGAGGTTAAGTTCATCCCCCAAAGCCCTTGGGGGTCCTGTCTACTTCCCATACACCTCCGCTACCACACCAAGACAAACAAAATAAAATAACAGGCCTCTCCCATCTCCAGAGGATTCATTAAAACCAGCCTGTGTGTGCAGAGCTGGGGCCCAGCTTCCCAGCCTAATTACCATTTTAAAGGATGTTAGGAAAGGATTCCACCTGCGCCAGAAAAAAAAATAAGTCAGAAAGCCCTACAATGGAGAGGGCGGTTGTCTCCCTGGGATTTCTCTCCTCTTTCTTGCCCTGACATTGAGTGAGGCCTCGGGGCCTCTCAGTCTGATGAGGTCTAAAAACCCTGGCTGGCAGAGCCTCTTCAAGCCAGCTCTGTGCCCCTGGCATCTGCGACACCATCTATGGCCAGGCCCTCTCCTGGGCCCGGCAATACAGTGGTGCTCCAAGGGCATCCTGGCCTCCACCAGGCCGGAAGCACACAGGAGCCCCCTAGAGTCAGGAGGTTGAGTTAGCCGTGGGACAAGTAGGATCAGGGTGGCAAGCAGAGCATGGCAGGCCTCGCTGCCCAGCAAGCATTTGCTCTCAGCCACGTGAGTCAGCGGACCGGAAGGGAGTGGAAAGAGCATTTTAGCAGTGACAGCCATGGTGTGTGTGTGTGTGTGTGTGTGTGTGGAGTGACAGTGCCACTGTCAGGGAGTGTCATGCAGAGAGGCCACCTAGCTGTAGGTAGTGGGCTGCCCAACTATAGATACTTGACAATAATGGGTACAAGAAAGTAATGGGGTGGCCTGGAGACAGAGGTGGGGTAAGAGCGCAGAAGTTCTGCTCATCACTGTCCAAAACACCAAGCAGCCCCAAATCCCATTGTTCTCAATGGGATGCTAACAGAAGGTATGCTACGTAACTTCACATTAAAAATATACAACAATATATGAGATCATATAAATATACAACAATATATGAGATCATATAAATATGTGCGTGCACATGCACACACACACAGTATCAAGTCAGACTTTGGAAGGAGGCTGTTAGATAGGGCTATCCCCTCTGATGCAGGAGAAGCCCCCTTATGAACTAGAGAGGCTCCTGGGAGCCCGTGGGGTACAAAGCCCAGCCCTGGGGAGGATGTGACTATGGGGCCAAGACCAAAGCCCTGACCTAGGGCTGTGTGTCACTCAGGACCTCTTTCCCCAAGCTTCCTGTTCTTCACCAAGGTCAATTCCTATTTGGTCCATGGTGATCCAGTGTCTCAGACCACAGCAGAATACAAGTAAACAGGGAGGCTGATGGGGGCTCTCTGAGGGTATCTGAGGCAAGAAGGACTGGTCCAGAGGGACAGACAGCCTAAAAAGCAGCACAGAACTACTCTGCACCCTCTGTAAGGTCAGCAATAGGGAAGGACATTCTTAGAATAGCAGTCCCCCCCATGAGTCTATAGATATTTGTCCTTGAGAACTCTATGATAAAGGGATTCCATGATCAAACACCTAATCACATTTGCTTTCAGCAAATCTAAGCACACACTGAGGAAGGAAAGACCCTGAGAAGTCCTGCAGCAGGCAGTCACTCCTGCTTCCTGGAATTCCCAGCTCCACACAAGCTCTGAGCCACCACCCTCCTTGGTTTTTTTTTTTCCCAAGTAACACCTACTAACGTTTCTTGGAATTAGTATCCCACAAAGCCCATTAGCTTAGAGAAATGCATTACTATTTGTTTCTATCCTAAGGAAGAAAACAGTGTCCCCCCAGCCTAAAAATAGTATAAATGATTAAGTTTGGTGCCTTTTGCAAAAATCTGTGGTTGCAAGAGAACCACTTGTGCAAACCTCTTCTCACCAGGGGTGCTAGGCAAGATTACTACTGTCTTCAATTGCTCAGCTTTTGAGCCACCTGTCAGCCTGTGGTTGACCTCAGAACACCATTCCAGAGCCAAGAGCCCCAGAGGTCATGCCATTCAACCTTCTGCCCACATAGGGCAGGGCAGGGCCACCACACAAGCCTTTCCAGGAAGGAAGGGCTTCAGCAAGGGTGTGTGTGTGTGGGGGGGGGGTTGGAGTGAGTGTGTGTGCATATGTATGCGTGTATTAAGGTGGTGTGTGAGAGAGGGTGTGTGTGAAAGGCTAAATGTGCAGGAGAGGTCTAAGGGTGGTAGTATGTACATGTATGTGTGAGAGAGGTCCGGAGTGTGTGCATGGAAGGCCCCAGAAAACACAACCACACAAGGAAGAGCAAACTCTCCTAAAGCTCCGCATTCTACCCCTCCCATATTTTGGCTGGCTCCTCTTCCACCTGACTGCCCCTTTAAGTATCCAAACACTGTAATGGCTCAGCCTGTCTGTGAAGGCTGAGAGTACCCAGACTGAAATGTGTCCTCTCTCTGTGTTTAAGATTTCTCTCTGGAAAACATTTCCTTTCTGAGATCTAGATTTTTCAGAAAAATCTTTACTAGGCTGGGGACCAATACCCTGGGGGGAAGCTCCTCCAAAGCAAACAGATACCCCAGGAACCTGGGGCCATCCCACTCTGATCCCAGCTCAGCAAGCCCTGGAGAGAGGCTGGCTGTGGTCACTCGGCCATGGACACCGATGAGGGGTGGGCGGGGTGGAGGCGGGCCTCCAGGACCTCACCTGGTATGTGTTGTCGAAGCTGTCATACATGAACCTCGTGATCAGAGACGTCTTTCCGACTGCAAAACAAGAAGAGAGGTGTTCAGCCATAAGCAGAGCCAAGCAGCCAAGGTCTTCAAACACATCGTACAAAACAGGTCACAAGTCAAAAAGCCCAGAGGGGACGCTGAGTTGACACACCAAAGTGGGAGGTTGGTCCCAGGGAGGAACCTTGAGGTGGGGTGGCAAGCGTTTATGACAGGTGGGGCTGCAGGGCAGTTCCTGCCAGGCAAAGAGGCCACCCAGTGCCCCATGAATTCCCACTACCCAGACCCAGGTTTCCTTGACCCAGAGGGCCCGAATGATGCAACAGCCAAAGAATCAGAGCAAGTGGAACAAACAAGCTGCTCCTCACACCTGCCTGTGTCCACCTGCACTTCCCACCTTGTGGCTGGTCAGAGGTCATGGAATCCTGCTCTTTTGTTCCCACTCATTCAGCCTGGGTGTCGGTGGGAAAGAGGGCTTTCCAGAGACCAGGGGCAGTGGGCCAGTTCCCAGGGTCTTCCTCCCTAGCATGTGCCTGACCATCCAGCTCAGTGAAGGATCTCTGGCATCCCTGGACCCTGATAGGCAAATGCCAAGAGGATGGATCCCCAGGCACTGTGACAAGTGCAGGCTCACCCACACATCTGCAAGTGCAAACGCAAGGGTGGTGACATCCCAACCGAGCATTCGGGTAGGGCCGAGAGAAGCCTAGGTGTCTCCTGAGAGTCCCGCAAATGTGGCTAATTTCCCAAACCACAGGGTTTGGCTTTTGACCTAACCCTATGCAGGTGCCCTGGGGCCTGGCGGGGGCAGAAATGCCAACTGCTGCATTTTTAGCCATCTGGGAGGGGAAAAAGCATGGTAAAGGGACATTTGTTCGCTCAAGCCCTGCATGGACTCCTTTCCCATACTGTCCCACCATGGCTCTGTCCTGGTCCTGGGAGGCTCAGAGGGCACCAGCCAGGCTGAGCTGGCACAGGGCCCTTTCTGCTCTGGGCTGCAGGCTGCAGGTAACCCTGATGGGGAAAGCAAGGGAGTGTAGCCGAGAGCTCTCCACTCTGCACCGCCCATGTCCCAGCAGGGCTTCCATAGGCAGGGCAGGGATGGCCATTGCCATGATGGAGCGGGGCCACCCAACAGGGCCCCAGTTTTGAAGCCTCAGGAGTGTAACAGATGAGTCCCATCCTCTCTCAATGGTCAGGACTTACCCAGGGAAAGACTGCGGTCTCTGGCCAGAAGAAGCATGTGAGAGGCTTGTGTTTGGAAGACTGAACTTTGCCCAGAATTGGTTATTTGAGTCCAAATCTTATCAGGATACTTTCTGTCACCTTAAGGTAACACCTTGAGGACCTCATTTTAAAAATTGATATAATAATATCACAGACATCAGAAGTACAAAGCACATAGGAAATGCTTAAAAATGGCAGGGAACTGAATAGCTGAGGCAGTTTCCAGAACACGGTAATGATGGCGGCGGGGGGGGGGGGGGGGGGAAAGGGGGGGGGGGGGGGGGGGGGGGGGGGGAATACAACCACCATTGTTGTTTGATAAAGAATTTGACTTGTCTTTATCCCTGGTTCCTGAGAAGGGACTCAAAAGGCTTAGAATTTCCTGAGTAATAAGAGTGTCGTTTTTATTCCTGGCCCCCCTTCCATCCCAGGAGTTGATGCTAATGAGGTGACTGATAGTGGCCCTGGAGGACCTCAGGGTAGGGCTGTTAACCCTGTGATTAGGAGTTGGGGACTGGAGCCAGTCCTACCTCCAGGGAAAGGAGAGAGGCTGGGGACTGACTGCAATGCCATGGCCAGTGCTCAGTCAATCATGCCCACACAATAAAACCCAGTGAAACTCTGGACAGCCCTGTGGCACTTCCTTGTTGGTGGATGCACCGTGTGCCTGGGGTGGGGGAGGGGGTGACAGGTTCTGAGTCTCTGCATTAGGGACACTCTCAGACCTTGCCCTCTCTGCTCTTTTATTTGGCTGGTCCTGATTTATAGCCTTTAATAAAACTGAAATCATAAGTAGAGTGCCATCCTGACTCCTTTGTTGTTCAGCAAATCATTGAACCTGAGGGGTACTGGGAAAACCCTGAATTTGTAGTTCCTTGGTCAAAAGCATAGATGTTTTGGGAACCTCATTTGGTGACTGAAGTGAGGGCAGTTCTAGAGATTGGGTGTCCTTAGAGTCTGAGGCCAACACTCGGTGACTATTGTCAGAAATGAGTTACCAGACACCAGCTGGGATCAGAATGGCCTTACTTCTGGAAGAACATCTCTGGGATGAGCAGTAATGTACCCCAAAGCTCTTCCCATTTCCCCCAGAAATGGCCCTGGGAACTTCTGATAGAAATTTGGCTAGAAAGAGATTTCCAAAAATGGCTTTAAATCTTCCCTTCAATTTTACAAGAAGGTGAGAAGTGGGGGGCTTCACACACATTGGGCATCGCCTCTGAGGCCACAGGTGGAGCTGGCTGGGAACTACTAAGGGGCCCACCGAGTTTTAGAAAAGTGGAGCATCCCTGAGCTGGCGAGGGGCAGGGAGAAATAGAAAAAGCACAGCATCCTCCCTTACGAGAGGCAGTGGAAAGTTCCCACCTCGTCAGGATCCCAGGGCCCAGGGCAAGTCCCCTAGGCAGTGACATCGGAATCTCACACCCCAGGGAAAAGGAGTGAGCTTCAGGGAGCTGGGTGGGGTGCTCCTCCTCCCCACAAAGGTTCTCCCCTGGAGTCAGTGAGTAGGGAGACAGGACGGTCAATGGAATCTCCCAAAGCCACTAAAGAAATAGGAAGTTCATGGAGCTGCCGAGAATTTTAAATCCCTGCAATCCCCTCTAATGCCGAGCGGCCCATTCTTGTGACGGCAGCTGGCAGCAATGGATTAGTACCAGCTGGCAGGATCAAGTTTGAGTGAAGGAGAAAAGTTGTTTACTGGGACTGTGCAGGAGGAACTTTGGTCCTGGCCAGTGTCGACATGTATGGGCATCTGCACATGTGACATGCGAACCCAGTCTTTATGGAGCATGTTCCAGCTACACGCTAGGCACCATGCCAGACACAGACTTACACGACAGCAACACATAGAAGAGACGTGGCCCCTGCCCCCTGGACACATGCAGCTGGGGATTAAGCCACCTCTTCTAGGCACCTTCTAGCTGCCCTCAGCTCTGAGCAGGTACTTGAGGCATCCTCAGTTTATTTTATTTTTTTTTTTATTTTTTTTT